TTTTTTTTTTTTTTTTTTTTTTTTTTTTTTTTTGGAAGCTCATCTAACTCTTAAGTGTAGCTTAAAAATTCTAGCTTAAAGATACAATTTTTTTTTGACAGTTTATCTCAAAGTCGATCAAATTAAAATATTCTGACATTTAAGCTAACGGGCAAAAATATTTGCTGATATACGTTGAGACAGCAGAAATCAACACAAATACACTTAGTGCTTCTTATTTTCTTACAACAGAAAAAAAAATTTTTTTTTTCGTTATTATTATTGTTTAGGCTATAGCATAAAAAAAAAAAACAGAAAATGAGTGAAGCTTAAGACCATTGAAGAAGACAATAATTTTGATAAAACTGTATATTGCAAATTTTTTTATAGGGGAGGGGGAGGGTACCTAAAAAATAAAAGCGGTTTGGATACTATTTTTTACATCTGTTTTCGTGTAAATTTATTTCAGCAAAAGTTTATCAAATGCTTGTCACGGTTCAGTGATCTTATCAAGCGAATTAAGTTTGAAGTTGAAAAAACAGTTATAATTACGAGAAGTCTTTTTTACGGTATTGAGCACTAAAAAGTGAAAGGAAAATACAATGATAATAATAGTTTGAATAAAACTATCTTTTCTTGGTAATTTATTTTCTTTTTGATTATTTAAATATAAATTTTTTTTTTTTTTGGTGAAGTTTTTCAAGCCTAAAAAAAGTTTTGTGGCAAATAAACAAGCGGTTAAGCAGCATTTTTTGTTCGTTAGTTTAGTCAATTTTTTCTTTATTCTTTTCTTTATCTGTATTGCTAACTAACTGATAGTCTGAAGGCAGACAATTGTCTGAATTCACATCAGCCATTCGAATGACAACTGTAACACAGTGATTTTGCTATAGGAATTTCTAAAGGATTTTTTGTTCTCAAAAAGAATTTTTTTTCGTTTATTTTTAATGGATCAGATTGTTTTCTTGTTGTAGGATGTCAGTTAGTTTTCTGGCCGTAGAGTTGCTAGTATCAGCAAATTTTTGATTCATTTACTTTAGAAGTACATCTCGCCTTCTTTTTTATTTTGTTTTCTACTGGGCAGTTGAAGCAATATTATTTTGCTGTTATACCACTATACGAGCCAAA